AGCAGATACCGGTCCTCCTGATGGGTTAAGGACCTACGGCCCTGTCCAGCTCTCATAGAGTTAACTGCCTGTCTTCTGGAATCTCCTTCATGCTCTTGAGACTGTGCCGGGAGACACAGCAAACTTTCTGGTAATGGCTAGTATTGATGTACCATCCTGGAGGAGTTGGACTGCCTGTGCAACCTCTGTAGGGTCCAGGTATCTCCTCATGCTACCAGTAGCGACACTGACCCTAGCCAAATGCAAAACTAGTGAAAAACAGAAAAGATGAGTAGGCAAAAAAATTTCATTGTCGTCCTACCTGTAAAATCATTCCTTTTTTGGGGGTCGTCTCATTGTTGCCCATCTTAGCTGACCAGATCATTATCCCAGGAGTTTGACTGATGCTATACTCTGATTAACCTCCCTAACGGTATTCCCGAGTGTAGCTCGGGGTAAAAATGTCTGTACCAAAAGCGGTAACCCCGAGCTACACTCGGGCTTACCATGCGGCGCTGCATAGGGAGTCCCTGCAGCACTTACCTTGTCCTTCGCTCCCGCGATGTGTCCCCTGCAGCGTCCCCAGCTATCTCCTCCGGCTGATGCCGGCATCCGGCTCCTGTGTTCCGGTCCCTGTGACGTCGGGACGTACGGGCGCCGCCGCCGGCGGGAAATTTGAAAATTTAAAAAAAAATTCATTTTTTTCAAAACTATTTCACATACATTTTGTCCCTAGTGCTTTGTCCTGTCCTCTGTCTGCATTTTGATTGTTCTTTCTGCCTGGAGACTTAGAAAAGTCCATGGCGTTTAAAAAGTGTCCCTTTGGGTCAAAAGCGGGTTTAGATCAGCTAGAGAACAGCGATAGTAAATCAGAACCACTTGCAGAATTGAGTGATGATTCGTGGAGAAATTCGTCATCGGACACTGAAAACGATTTTGCGACTTTGCTCAGCGCTGTGCGAACTTGGCGCTATATTTCAAATTTCAGTGTTTTTGGTTTGATTATATTATTGAATTAAATGTAATAATTATTATATTATTATTTTTTTGATTATTTATTAAATCATAATTTATGATTTTGTGTTTCAAATTTTTTCATACCCAGGATGTTTAATAGACTCTTGTTCGGACAGATTTCAGTGAGTCATTCCTAAATATTACAGCCTACAATAAAAAAACTACATATTTCCATGCAAAATAATGGTACCGCTTTTAGCACCAAAAATCTGAAATAATCATACCGCCAGGGAGGTTAAAAAGTGTTTCTTAAATTTTTTTTAGCAGTGTTTTTAGACAGAATAAAGATGAAGCACCTGAAACAGATGGTTTACACCCACACATGGCCTCAATTAATATCATGAATTTTAAATGAATATCCATTTATTTTCAGTACCTTTCAGCCAATAGGCTACTTTCACACTCAGCAGTTTTTGCAGCGCTTTTGCGTTTAAAAAAAAAAAAGGCTCAAGAAAAGTGCATACCTTTAAATTCAATGTATGTCTTCACACTGGTCCGTTGCACTTCCCTTGCAGTGTTAAAAATCCTGCTTGCTGCATTTTTGGTGCATATTTGGCAAGTTAAAAAAAGACGCACCTCCCCATTGAAATGCTGCAAAAATGCACGTTGTGTTTTTTAATGCGTTTTTGCATTTTTAATCTGCCCTGCAGCAAATTGGCCTTCCCCCCCAAAAAAAAAATTCAAAGAACGTATGAAAAAATGTGTCAAACCGCTTGTGGAACATATTGTCAGTTCCCTGCAAAATGGACAAAACGCAATCTGCATTGCTGTGAACCAGGCCTGAAATGCATTGAAAATGCAGCAAAAATGCATGTGTTGCATTTTTGATGTGTTTTGCATTCTTAATCTGCTCAGCAACAAAAAATGCGTCAAACGCATGCAAAAACGCAAAACGGACAATACACAAACTGCATTGGTGTGAACCAGGCCTGAAATGCATTGAAAATGCAGATGTGTTGTGTTTTTGATGTTTTTTGTTTTTTTTTCTTTTTTTAGTCACATGACCTATGAGAAAAAGCACCCTAAACATGGTAAAATTGCGGGTAAAATTGTGCTTTTTCAGTGGCCGTTTTCGGCACCTTTTTTCCTACCAGTAAAATGCTGACCAACATTATTTTTGTCCAAAACATTTGGCCCACTGATATCTTGTTGCATCCCTAAAAACCAGTGTTTAACTTTAAACAAGTGTACAAGTAGAAGTGGTTTATCAGCAACTTACAAATCAGTAGCAATCTTACATTGTGTAGGACAGGTGTTGCAAAAGACAGAACCGTATGTATACCAAAAGACATACGAATCGTGTCGTTAACAATGCAAATAAAAAAACAAGAAGAGCTGACTGCCAATACCTAGGTAATAGGCGCTTGTGAGTGAAATGCAAATATTAGGCTTACTACATAGAGAACAGCCGAGTATATAAGCAGAAGCCTTCCCTGCAGGAAAGGCAAAGTGGATAGGAATGAGAAAGGTGTAAAGAGGGGGATGGAGATGGATGTCAGGAGCATCCTAGCTGGAGCTCCAGGGTCTTAATGCCTATAGCTGTGTGTGGATTTTATTGTAGATTGTATTTTATTGTAGATTGTCTTATTTTATTGTATTTGTATGGATCTTATTATAGATTGTGATGAACATTAGTTATGATACAATGTAGCATTGTTGTTATTGCAGCTGTTTATCACTTTTTTTGGTTTCATTTTCAGTTGCTGTACACTGCTGTGCTGTATAAAAAACAAAAGTGAAAAATATGCACTTTTTTATATATTGATAATTTTATTGACTACACCACCACATTTGCAGCTCAATTTTGAGGCTATTTGCTATTTTTTTGCATTCAGCTCCACTACATTATAAGACAGGAAAACTTGAAATTTACACAAAATTAATACAAAACTAAGATATAAATAGTAGCATAGAATGCTGAGTAATCACAGAGCAGGATTTGCCAAATGCACCTTAGTCCACAAATGCAATCTGTAACAAAAGAAAGGTAAATAGATGAGCTTAAAAACATGCAATGCAAAATTGCAATTTAAAGGATAAGTTCACCTTTAGAACATGTTACAAGTTCCACCTGTTTTTAGGATGGATCATGCAACATGTTCCTGATTTCTCCCCCCCCCCCCCCCCCCCCCCCCCCCCATATGACAACAGTACAGGGAGAAGTACTCATTCACCGTGTTCTGTGAATGAATGGACTACAAGTCCCGACAGCTTCAGCGTCTGTCGGATTGTAGTTCTTCATGAACTACCACGTTACTATCATAGCTGTGGTAGTTCATTGAGTCTTCTTGTCAGTAGTATATGCCCATATGGGTAAGCAGATACACAGACAGTCTGTAGGAGACTTACATGGCACCAGCGATCTGCAGATTGCTGGTGTAATGCTTTACAGGCTCCTACTGCAAAAAATAAATGCACATTTCTTTACCTGCCAAAAAATGTGCATTTATTATTTTTTGTAGAAAGCTGAACTTATCTGTTTAAATCTTAGGGTGATAAAATATATCCAGTTATAAAATCAAAAAAACTTCTCTGCGTTTGAGAGTAGTGCAGTCACCCCCTTGCTTTAATTTAAGCACCATGTCTACTACCATAAATTTGAGATCTACACCTCTGCCCAGTTTCTGAAAAAACCTGGGCACAGGGATTTCCATCTGTCTTGACCTAATGTGCTGTCTGTGTTGTTACACCTTACTGTACGTCTTATAGAGCGAATATGGAGCGGCTGGCCCGGTATTCCCGCCGCCGCCATGTTATAATACCGCGCCAGCGGCTTGGCTCTTCTGTGCAGCAGAACCTGCTCCTCGGTCCTACCTGTTCCTCAATCCAGCAGTGTCCTCACCATCTTCTCTCCCTGTCGCCGGCATCTTTAGTGTGGGCACCCGGTTGTGACAGCTTGCGGCTTTACAGCTGGGTGCACACTGCGCATGTGTGAGAAGCGCAGCGTTATTTGACTGGTCCAGTAGTCTTCTGAGACCTGTCGCATGTCCCAGAAGACTAGGAGGGAGGACAACCTCGTGGAAGTGGGACCGGGTACCTGTCAAATGCGGGTACCTGCTTGCCTTCCACTCCCCAAAGATCTGCAGTCTCTGGTCATCTCCTGTACTATGTCCGCAGTGCTCAGCATACGTTTTAACTAGTCAAAATAACATGTTATAACTTTAATCCTGATTGCAATAGAGAAATGTATGTCCATAACCATTGCATTCTCTTGAACAAGTTAATGTTTAGGTGGAAAACTACATGTTACTTTCAAACAAGATGCTTGTTTGGTGTGTACAATTGTCCTAGTTGCTAGATTGTAATGTTTAATCCCTGGAATAGTTTCTGTTTTAAATACAGATATTGCACTAAATATGTAAGATGTGGTAAATTCAGAGGTGCAGATCTCTTGGAAATATTACCATTTACGGGCAAGTGTGTCCAAGTAAAGACCTATGCCACTCAAAGTATAGATGGTGTTATTTAAAGTGATTATTAAAGTCAAGGTTGTGTTTTTTTTGTTTTGTTTTTTTAATAAAAAACAGGTCACCTGCTCTTTACAACGATTTTGCACATAGCAGTCCCATACCTCTTATCTGGTGGTCCCCCTCCTCAGAGTGCCCCATAGTAAGCCTTGTGCTATGGGGGCACCTGTACAGGTTCACTCCTGAGCTAGGCTGTGTGTGTCTTAGACATGCGCAGCTCAGCCGTGTCCCCTGCTCCCTCCTCACAGGATTTGTCTGACAGCAGCAAGACCTTATGGGACCCGCTGTTTTTAGTGCAGCCTTTGAATCCAGGCAGAGAAGAGACTGGTGCTGCTGGTGGGAACAGCAATGGACCATTAGAGGTGTCAGGGAAGTGTTTTTGGGGCAGGGGGGTTGGGGGGATAGGTAGTGGGGTGTGTTTTTGTTTTTTGTTTTTTTTTTATGCAGGGAGTGTGTTAGGGTAAAAACCACTTTAACTAATTCTGCATACAGTGTAAAAATGCTTTTACATATACTTTTTTTGTATTCTTTTGATAGGTACTCCTTTTCCAAAGAATTTCCTTCAGGTTGTGAAAAAAATTCTGTCAAGACTTTTTAGGGTCTTTGTTCATGTCTACATTCATCACTTTGATAGAATCATCCAAATGGGTGCAGAGGCGCATGTGAATACCTGCTACAAACACTTTTATTATTTTGTAAAAGAATTTAATCTGATTGACACCAAGGAACTGGAACCATTGGTAAGCACAACTTTTAAATCCTTTTGGTTTTTTTGGGATTTTTTCCCCCTTTCTTCCATTATAAAATGACAATTAAAAAAAAATATATGTACAACCTATGGATTTATTTCAGTGAAACACCTGGCACCAAATGATATTGCTAAAGCTATCCAGAAAGCACTGCAGCTGTTCAGCCAGGACATAAACGTTGGTTACGTAAACCCCTTGCGGCCGCTGCCATCTCCCCTGCCCTTTAAGAGCAAATGTCAGGACGCAAAGGCAGGCTTTTCAGATCTTGTGACCACTGTGATTGGCTGTCACAGTGGTCACATGATTGGAATTTCCTGATCGCAAGTATGCACCAGGAGCTGCCTGTGACATCTCATTTACTGTGCTGAGAGCCTCCAATGGGTGCACACTCAGAACAGAAAAAATCCATTCTCCATGGATGCGTACAGTGGGGAAAATAATTATTTGATCTCTTGCAGATTTTGTAAGTTTGCCCACTTACAAATAAATGAAGGGTCTATAATTTTTAGGCGTACGTTAAATTATAGAGACAGAATATCAACCAAAAATCTAGAAAAAACACATGATACAAATATTATAAATTGAGTTGCAGTCCAGTGAGTAAAATAAGTATTTGATCCCCTACCATCCAACAATAATTCTGGCTCCCACAGAAACTTTCTTCCATTCAAACCTCACTATTATGGGCAAAACCAAAGAGCTGTCAAAGGCTGTCGGGGACAAAATTGTAGACCTACACAAGGCTGGAATGGGCTACAAGACCATCAACATTAAGCTTGGTGAGAATGAGACCACTGTTGGGAGTGATTATTTGCAAATGGAAGAAATACAAAATAACCATCAGTTGCCCTCTGTCCAGAGCTCCATGCAGGATTTCTCCTCATAGGGTAAGGATGATCATGAGAAAAGGGAGTAATCAGCCCAGAACTACACGGGAGGAGTTTGTGAATGATCTCAAGACAGTCACCAAACAAACCATTGGTAACACAATAAGCCGCCATGGATTGAAATGCTGCAGTGCTTGCAAGGTCCTCCTCAAGAAGGCATATGTGCCGGCACATCTGAAGTTTGCCAATGAATGTCCAAAATGATTCAGGAAGAATTGTGGTCAGATGAGACCAAAATTGAGCTGTTTGGCATTAACTCGACTCGCTGTGTTTGGAGGAACAAAAATGCTGACTATTACCCTAAGAACACCATCCCTACAGTCAAGCATGGAGGTGGAAGCATTCTGCTTTGGAGCGGTTTCTCTGCTAAAGGTACAGGCCGACTTTGTCGCATTGAGGGACCAATGGGTGGGGCCATGCATTGTAAAATCCTGGATGTGAACTTCTTCCCTCAGCCAGAACACTGAAGATTGGTCATGGATGGGTCTTCCAGCGTGACAATGACCCAAAATATACCCTCAAGGCAACAAAGGAGTGGCTCAAGAACAAGTACATTAAGGTCATAGAGTGGCCTAGCCAGTCTCCAGACCTTAATCCTATAGATAATTTATGGAGGGAGCAGAAACTCTGAGGTGCCAAGTGACCGCCAAGAAACCTTAAGGATTTAGAGAAGATCTGTAAAGAAGTGTGTACCAAAATCCCTCCTGAGATATGTGCAAACCTGGTAACCAACTACAAGAAATGTCTTACTACTGTGCTTGCCAGCAAGGGTTTTTCCACCAAGTAGTAAGTCATGTTTTGCTTGGGGATAAAATACTTATTTTACTCACTGAACTGCAACTCCGTGTATAATATTTGTATAATTTTTTGGGGGTTTTTTTTCTAGATTTTTGGTTGATATTCTGTCTTGATAAAAATTATAGACCATTCATTTCTTTGTAAGTAGGCAAAGGTTTAGGAAATCTGCGGAGGATCAAATAACTATTTTCCCCACTGTATATGTGGCCTCTCAGTGTTAGTGTTACTAAACCCACAACAGTAAAATCAGTCTGTATATGCTATAAAGCATGCTTGTTATACTCTGGAACCTAGGGGGTTAATCCTCTGCATTGTGCAAAAAAGGCTGATTCTTTCTTCTCGGTTTCTACCGTTTTTCAAGCGACCACCACTTATTTCCAGACTGAACCTTAGGCCTACACATGATCAGTTTGGTGTATATTGCTAGAGAGGTTTTTTTTTTTCCTTGGAAGAGTGCATGTGATCAGCACAGGGCCAATCAGCACTGTCCAGACAGAGGTCAGGGGATTTTCATCCTCCTAGAGCAGAAAGAAAACTCCTCCTACAAGCTTTAGCTAGTGCTGGGATGGACACTCTATAGAAGTCACTATACTGCTCTAACTGCTGATGAGAAAAGGTATTTAGAAGTTTATATTTACTAAAATAGTTGCACTTGCATGTTTTGTGTACTGTGGGAGACCAGATATAGTGAATGCAGGGTCCTGGGTTTAGTAACACTTTAAGGCCCAACTGTCCAGCAGCCACATATATCTATACAGCCAACTGAAAAAGATAAACTTACATCGAAAGAAACTACTAGACAGTGCTTTAACATTGTCCTAGCATGTAAATAGAAGGAAACCTGAACTGAGTTGTACCATGGTCTTTTGATTTAAATTTCTAGAAGATTGCACTAATTGCCAGGCAAACATATGTTTCCCTCGTTGGACATGAATATTAGAGCATTACAGAACACAAGTTTCTGTACCTGGGGACACAGATATAAACAACTTGAGAAAAGAAAATGTGAACAGTGAAAACTGTTGTCAACCTTGTGCTGGAGAGGTTTGTTAGCATGCAGTTGAAGGAAAAAAAAAGATTTTAATACAATCATCGCATGTATAGTTATTAAAATAAAATGACGGGCATGTTTCAAGTTTTTCACAGGTCTGCAACTTAACACTGAGACAGATTTATGTGTCTAGATGACCGAATTTCACTCTAAACTGATGCACAATAAAATGTATTTTTGGGTTTATATACATTTTTAATATATTGAAGCTTACCAGTTCTTGTGCTGGCTGCGTTGGTTTTCTTTTTCAGGCTTTTTTCCTTTATACGCCCTATTAATTGTGAGGTAAGCCATTTCCTGGCTTAGGGTGACAACAATTCATTCTACTATAATCAGGATAATTGAAACGAGACAGGATTGCTGAAACCTCTCCCTCTTCTTCTCCTGTCTGTAACATAAAGGGTGGGTTTTGTAGTCTTTTAGAATAATTTAACTGATAAGAATGCACGGGATGAAAGTGCAGGAATTAATCAGCTGACAAGATTTTCTGCAAAATCAACAGGTATCTTTGCACTTATTAAACAGATATAACTAAATGCTTTCAATAATATATTTTATTATACAAAATTAGAGCAAATAAAAGTTCATTGTTGGGGTATTTATAAAGGAGAACTGAACTCTGCAGGCTTGTGCAAAAAAGGAAGGCAAAGGACTAGTCCCCAGTATTGCTGATGCTCCCCATGACATTTCCCTATTACTCACTCACCATGTTTTGTGTCTGTGTGGAGGCAGCCACCTTGGTGAAGGCAGAGCTTTGCAACCCTATGTCAAAGCCTACAGCAAGAACAGTGAACAGAACAATAGTGCTATCCCCAAATCTGTGTCCATATTTCCTGAGACCAGCAGTCATATAAATCCCACACTGCAGATATACAGTACAGCTATGAGGATGTAGACGCACTCTCATGCCAGGAAGTGTACTGCTGTTTAAGGAGAAATTCAGTTGTTAGGCTGCCACCTGCTGGTGTCTGGCAACAGAGTGACTAGATTTGTGTGCTGAACTTAAAGTGGAACTGCTCTGCATCTGAGCACCACAAACCGAACATTCTATTTAATTCATTGTTAATATTCAAAGCAAACTCGCCCATTCATCCATGTCTCCATCCTTTTGCTGAAAAATGATTTTGAAAAACACCCCCTGACATTTCTGGCAGTAGCCATCTTGAGTAAGGGCAGATGATTCAAGTAGCATTTACTTCCTGAAATCCATCTGCCTTTAGCTCAGGCATTGGCTGAGCTGAGAACCCTCCCCTACTGAAAACTGCAGGGATGTATGACGACATTTGCCTAGGCATGGAAATCAGGAAGTAACTGAAGTAATGTAAAAGAAAGTAAAACAAATATGATATGCTTTCCTGTCTATCAATGGTAGCATCATAAGGATTAAGAATAGTCCATGTTGATTGAGAGAGTGAAGTTCCACTTTAAGGAATTCAAGGACCGAATTTATCAAAGTATACGTGAACCAAATGACAGAATTTCTAACAAGCAACCTAAATATACTATTGTATTATATAAACAAAGGGGGACATAGATAAATAGAGTAAGCACAGAGATGCAAAGAACAATCAGGAAGGGTCCAGAACTCGGATCAGGAACAATAACAGATGTGCGGTAGCAGGGTAGCGGATGAAGGTAGTGGAATGGAAATAGGATCACAGTTGGAATCGGGATCATCAGTTACCAGGTATATACAGTAAAGGAAAGTATTTGATCCCCTGCTGATTTAGAATGTTTGCTCACTCACAAAGAAATGATCAGCCTAAAAATCGAAAGGTAGGTGTATTGTAATAGACAGAATAGCAACAAAAAAATTCAAAAGAAATGCATGTCTAACAAATTATGCACTGATTTGCATGTTCATGAGGGAAATAAGTATTTGATCCCCAATCATTCAGCGGGATTACTGGCTACCAGGTGTCTTTCATACAGGTAACAAGCTGAGATTAGAAGCAGTCTCTTAAAAGGAGTGCTGCTAATCTCATTTTGTTACCTGTATAAAAGACAGCTGTCCACAGGAGCAATCAAACAATCAGATTCCAAACTCTCCACCATGGTGAAGACCAAAGAGCTTTCCAAGGATGTCGGGACAAGATTGTAGACCTACACAAGGGTGGACTGGGCTACCAAACTATCACCAAGTAGCTTGGTGAGAAGGTGACAACAGTTGGTGCAATCATTCGCAAATGGAACAAACACAAAACTGTCAGTCTCCCTAGGTCCGGTGCATCATGCAAGATCTCATCTCGTGGAGTGTCCGTGATCATGAGAACAGTGAGGAATCATCCCAGAACTCCACATGAGGATCTTGTCAATGATCTCTA